GAAAGTGAAACAGGCTGTTTGCTGTTTGCTGCAAGGAGGCAAATTGCTGGGAGGCAGAGGCAGATTTTTTTTCTTGTGCTAATCGGGCTAAATTGAAACAGGCTGTTTGCTGTTTGCTGCAAGGAGGCAAATTGCTGGGAGGCAGAGGCAGATTTTTTTTCTTGTGCTAATCGGGCTAAATTGAAACAGGCTGTTTGCTGGAAGGAGGCAAATTGCTGGGAGGCAGAGGCAGATTTTTTTTCTTGTGCTAATCGGGCTAAATTGAAACAGGCTGTTTGCTGCAAGGAGGTAAGTCAATAACTATAAATGCCTATAGAATGTTATTAGACTTATTTTTTAAAGACTGCTTTATTATTGTTCTAGGCAGCTTAACAAAATCAAGCTTTTTAAAATAAATACTTGATCTGAAGTGGTCCAGTGCTATTGTATCTTCTTTTAAATAACAGAGAATAACTATCCTTCCAGAAAGCACATCAATTTTAACAGCATCTATACAAGTGTAGTTATCTGCAAATGTGACGAGTTCCCCATTTATTTCCTCATCCAAATCATTGATGAAGAAGTTGAAGACTTCTTCCGGATCTAAAACAGAGCCTTGGGGTACTCCACTGCATACTTCCCTCCATGTTTTTTATGTATGTGCTAGAAAAAAAACACCTTTAATCAATGCCAGAGCATCCACTCTGTTGGAGCTGATTGACTAGTCTGAAGATGTAGATGAGCCACCTCTGACGTACAAATTGAGTACAGTGGAAATAAAGAAGTTCATCAATGAACTAATGCAAGTACCACAGTGGCCCTGTCATGCCCAATCAATAGATGTGTGAAACAGGTCACAGAGGCAACAAGCAGAGTATATACAGAAACTATCTGTATAGGAGTGTATTTCTGGGCATGACACTGGGCTAGTGAGAGTTAGTACAATTTAAAATGCCACACGTTCCGCATTTTTTCTTTTGAATTCTGTTAAAACAGTAAATGGAACTAGCTTTATTGTTTGGACTGGGTCAGCCATTGCAACTTCAGCCACTTCTCTACTAATAAAAACATGCAGAGAGACAAAATATCAGAAAAAAAGAATCTGAAATAATGGAATAATGCTATTCACCATAACATTTGCAACTGATTGTCATCATTACTATAACAATGAAGAAACAAATGAGAGATTGATAAGAAAACTCTAAGAAACATGTCCCATACTAGTAAGCCCACCCTGTCTAAATGAATATATGAAAAAATAATGGTAATTGCAGTTACTTGCCTGACTTTATCCCTGAACTTTACTATTGGCACTTTTGCTCGGATCAGTTGAGGTCTCTCAATGTAGCTTGCTGTAAAGAAAATGAAAAACTCCTGTAACGTCTAATATAAATGTTATTTTGCAGCAGGAAATTTATCAGAACATATTTCCTATACAGTTTCATGTTGCTCAGATGTAATTAAATAAATAGATAAAATTTAATTAGTGATTTTATTGCACAGAACTTCTTAGGCCATGCTGCATCATTTCTGGCAGGGTTTTTATTCAATTTGTAGAGATTTTCTATATGAATGGATGACCCCCTTTCTGCTTGGATTATGTGCCATCAAATCATTGAATCTCAGCGACCACATAGATATTTTCCATGAGTGAGTTTCAAGAGGAAACTTGAAATTATATTCTGTTGCTAGACCTTTGTATTTTTAGGTATTGTAGGTTGCTGCTATTGTAGTTTACTGACTACGAGGTTCTTAACTTAATCTTTATTGTAACTGCTATAATTGTATGTTTTTTATTATCAAAGAATATATGATTGAAGCAGCATAGAAATATCAATAAACAGCAAATTGGATTGCATTATTCAGAAGTGCTTCAGGCTATCCATCCACCATCCATCCATCTATCTAATTTAGAAACTGCCAATTCCCTCACAAAGGAACTCTGTACAATCTACAAATAGTGTGTGTGTGTGCGTGTGTGTGTGTGTACAAAAATAACTTCATGACAGCTCAGTGCATTATTGCTATTCATAAAAACATGATCTTGTACAGTATTCTTCCTTAACAGTCAGTGTAAATACATGTTGTTTTAATGATTAAATTCATTAAGACAGCATCACCTTCTCTCTCGAACTGACATAAAAAATAGATCATCTGTCTTAATAAACAGAATTTTTTTTTGATGACCTTATTTATGCAAGGTCCAGAACACTTCCCTGGGATTATATCCGAAATGTGCAGTTTGAGTTTGAAATTTCATTTATTAAAACACCAGAAAATTAATCTGCATAACATCCCATCTTAATAGTTTACTTTGGTTGTAAGGCATTATATCCTACTTCCTTAGAGCATAATATTGTACTTTCCTAGAAATATAACAGAAATCTTCATCAAAAACTTGTTTTTGAAATTTTCTAAAATGGTAAGACATGCTACTAACAAGAAAGTGCACACACAAATGAAATACATTTCAAATCCAAATAAAGGTCACTAACTCAAGAATGCATTAAGTGCATATCTCTGTTAGTGAAAACTATAAACAAATTAACAATATTAATTTCACTAAACAAGGTCTAGAACTTACAAAGCTTCCTACAGAAGTGTTTTTGGAGTACACTGAGTATGTGTCTTGCTTCAGTCTTCTGATTCATCTGAAATAAATTAATGATTTATTTAATGATGTTTTAATAATGTTTGAAAATGGAGGTATTTAGACATGTAAATCTTCAAATGGAAACATTTCATCAAATGAATGCATGAAGTGAAAAAGAAAAGGAGTAAACCCAGAAGATGAAAGCACTTTGTTCATTATAGAATAGCAGGAACAAGCTCAAAGATCCAAGTCTTAGAACAGCCCATGTGCTAAAGCTCAACCACTATACCAGGGGTTATTCTTCTACGGTATCATGTAAAGTCCCAAGGAAATTTAGAACGATGGACAATCAATACATTTAGAATTCCAGACAGAGTTAGATTGAGTTTAAAACACACATGGACACAGGGACGGACACACACAATAATTCCATTTATCAAAATGTAGTAGCCTGTAAAAGAGAGTCATTAAAGAAAGGTAATTTTTGCCACATTCTATTGTATTGGGATAATAGCAATTGTTTGGATCAATAGTAAATAGAGAATAGGGCTCAATTCTTTCTGATCTCTTTTACAAATATCCAAGCTTTTCCTTTTGTTAATAATAGTATCCATGTCTCCCTAAAAATAAATCTAATGATTATATAAATCATTTAAGTGGTATTTCACAGTCCCCCCTCCCAAATTTGCTTCAAGCTATTTGTCACACTCGCACACTATTTCAAAAATCCAAACAACAAAACAGACAAATGGAATTAAATCAGAACCAGTAGTTAGGCAGTATTTCTTAGCATATAAGCTGAACCCTCTCTATGATGCGTATTTGCATAATTATTGTTTCAAAAGTCACTTATTAATGGCTTTTACTACTGATGTGAATGCCTTCTAAAAATGTTATTAAAACTAATGTAGCATGTAATGCACCAAACCACCCTTTTAACTTAAAGTGATTTCTTTCAAAGTATCTGGTGGGGTTTTATTTGCAATTTTTGCAAGGACACAGCTTCTTTAAAATTGCAGAGCTCACCCCACTAATTGTCTTATTTTTGTTACAGAAAAAAAAACCCATGAAGGATGTGTCCTCCTTGTGATCTTAAAAAAATTGTGGCTACAGTAAGGCAGTTCTCTATTTTTCCATCATGTAAACAAGAACATTTATACAAATCATACAAGCATGGCCATGGAGAATTCTTATACTGTATATCCAACAGAGATGGGGTAATATATTACATCATATTATACTATATTAACATTGCTTACATTTTTCTATTTCTTGCCCAAAGTATTACTTGGAAATCATTAGAATACTTATTTGAACAAATAGCTATTTTCAATGAATACTTTGCACAAGCTCAACCTACCCCTTGATAAATTTGATTTTTTAGAAACTAGTTTTACTTGTTCTTCTATATTTATCTCCCTTTCAGTACTCTTTGTTTTAAAAATATGGATATTTATATTTACTTACTGGCTCCTCTTTAACCACTAGGCACAAATCACCATCACTGCTACGAGTACCAAATCCATTCAGTGAAGATCCAACCAAAAAGAGTCTACTATCTGTAAGACAAAAATAATTTAAAAAAATATGTTCTTCTTTGAAATAATTCAAATACCAAAAGTATTGACTAATAAATATACAGGATTGCATACTTGGAAAGATCTGCTGAATTTCCCTTTGGAGTTGAGTACGGCAAAGCTCTTTTTTGTTCAAGTCGTAGGTTTGTTGTTGACATGCTTGAAATAACTCCAGTACTTGCTGACTTAACTTTATGTATAAAAAACAAAACTTACATTTAATATATAAATATTAGTCCAGTCTTTTAAGCCTTATTGAATGTAGACCACTTTTTTAGGATAAAAAAATCATCAATCCTACATTGCTCTTCATCTGGTTCATACTAGATCTGTCTTGCAAATAACAAATTATCTAGATCCTAATGAGCAAGATTATTTATTTCAGGTCTATGAAGTTAAGCAGCACATCAATCACAAGACCAAGAAACATTTATTCTTGGAAGTTGGAGACAATCAAAAACAAATTGGGTTTTATTCTAATGAACACTGATTTTAGATAACCTGGTAGCTTTATCTTTAAAATGGTTGCTATACAGCAATAAGCAGTGGAAAAACTTTGTTATTATAATAGTTCTTAGCCTGGATGTCAAGATTAATGCAGCACGAAACAGCCTCCTTCCACTCACTTTGATTAGGATTGGAGGCAGTGGGAAAAAGACTTATCTAGGAAGATGGTGTGATTTTTTTGTTTTTTTATTTTAACATTTCCAATTTAAAGAAAATGTTGAATCTTTATCTACATTTTCTCTTCTACATCTGTAGAAACTCCAGGAATGTGGAGTTTCTATAAACTGATTCCTAATTGTAGAAGTGCATTAAGCCAACCTGAGACTTTGCGCCTTTATAACACTTATTTTGTAATATTATAAACAATATTCTTTTCAATCTTACCTTATCTTTGGCTACAGGAAGTGTAGCTTCTATAGCATTATTAAAGGAAGGTTCTTGTAAAGGTGGCACACATCCTGTTAAATCTGAGATGTAATGTGTTTGAAATAATGGTGATTCAGGGAATGAATATCTATGATCTTCTATTAAAGGCACCAATTGGTTAGCTGAAGTTAATTCACGATGAGGTGAATGAAATCGCTGACGCTTTACTTCATAAGGAACATCCTCTTCTTTCAACCTCCTAAAAACATAAAAGATTTGATTATTCCAGTTTTCCATTTAAATAAACAACAAAAACCTCAATTGTAAATTAAGGTGAATATTCCAAAACTGTGCATTATGCTTTATAAGGATGTGCCAAATTCTTTTAAACAGGGAACCCAACTGTGCCCCATGGAAAAGTGCTTGATTAAATACAAGTTTTGAAACTGAAAGTTTAATCCGATGAAGACCATCTTACACAAACCATACTGTTTTTGAAGTACTCCCTATCCAAAAGAATAAGTTCACATCTTACAAAGTGCACTTTAGTGAGAAGTTGTGTCCAATGTGCACCCAGTGATAAGGGTGATAAGAAAGATAGGAGAGACAGAAAAACTTACCACAACAGCCATTCAAAATGTAGAAAGTGTCTGTGTAGGTTTAGATTGTACAGACAGTAAAATGTTTGATCTGGGCAAAAAAGAATCTCTATTTCATTTCACAATATTTATATATGAAAGCAACAATTGTCTATTACAAAACCTCTTGCTTTCAGCAGCCTCAATAAGCTTGATATGATTTTATTATTTTTAGACTACAATATTCACAATAAACAACACACTTGTTTAATACTAATCAAGCAAGTGTGTTGTTAATTATGAATGCTGTGATCTGAAAATAAAGATTCACACACTTTTAATTACTGAAATACTGACAAAGGTTCCTGCCACTCATACAGGATATCTTGCCATTATTTTTTAATCAAGGCAGTAGTTGCTGCATACAAGATAAATTTTATGCCCATAAAAAAGATTTCAATGGGTGCTTCTCTTTGCAAAAAAGCTTTGACAAAAGCTTTTTGATGTGACTCTGGGAGACAAAGCAGTAGCCCACAAACAAATCATATTAATCATTAGGTCTCTAGTGAGATTGCAAGGATTACTTATCAGAAAAAGTGAAAATGCACCAATGTTACATAAAAGGAGTACTCCCCTGAAAATAGATAATCAGTAATTTAAGGTGATATTTAGTGAAACTTCAGAACAAGAATATTATGGACCATATCTATTTAGTAGCGGATAAAAATGCTAGTACTCTACAATCCCTGATACAAAGCAAAGGAGAACAGATATGCAGACAAGTGAATTTTTAGGCATTTGGCTTTCTTGGCATTGAAATGGCCATTTAAAAGCAAAACAAATCCTTGAAAAAATATTCTGGATACCTATCTCACTGTTGTAATAATCAAATCATTCAGTTACTTAATAGGCTGAATGCCATGTATATGTAGTTGATAATGCAACTACACAAGCATTTGAGAAGCATAACAATACTTTTAAAACACTGCATCCATGCTTATACAAGCAAAACATTTATTTCAATTAGCTACATTTTGAATACAAGTTGATAGTCTAAACCAAAGTTTTCTTTTCTTTTGATTAAAGTATCAGGTTGAGATACAAACTTCATTTTAACCTACATTATGTAATATTTCCATTGGCTATTACCATCATCCAGATTACACAAAAATATAGGCTGATCATGCAAGTATTATAATTTGAAGCTTACTGTTAGCTCAGTAATGCATTTTTAAAAACCCACAAACATATACGGATTCCTCTGATACAGTTTGGATTATGTATTTCATTTCCCACAGCACGTTAAGTGATGAACCACTTTTGATTTGTGGCTCTGAGAAGCTGATACTCTTTTCCTGACATTTTTGATATTGATAGTAGAAAGACAAAGAAACACAAAATATGTAACCATTTAAAAATATTACAGATGGAGGCATGTACCAATGTGAAAATCTCCAAACTTTGAATATGAGAGACCTCCATTATCCAGTGAGGTAATCACCAAGTTAAAATAAAGCAGATTTGGAATTAGTGTTTGTTTTTCTAAAAATGGAAGGACTTTCTATGCGGCGATAGCTTCTGAGCCATTAAAACTTTATCACAAATGAAGTGGAAGAACATTTAATCAATTTACCATCACTCTTCCCTGCAACTAACTCAGATTCCCTATGTGCTTTGAATATCCAAGAACACATTGTGAGGATGCAAGTTCTAAGGCTGTGATGGCGAACCTGTGGCACACAGTGCCCTGTCTGTGGGTCTCTTCAGCTCTGCCACACATGCACACGCACGTCCCACCGGCCAGCTGGTCTTCTGGTCTCTGCTGCGCATGCACAGGGGCAGGACAAATGCATAGGGGTGGGGCGCATGCACAGGGACCACACACATATTGTATTTTGGGGTTTGGGGGCACACATTCACACACACTTTGGGCACAGTCTGGAAAAGGTTAGCCACCATTGTTCTAAGGAATGCAGGGGAAGAAAAAAATTCTCACAGCAGAATCATTCTGAATAAAACTCCATTCATGCTGGATCAGTCCAGTAATATCATGTCTAAGTCCCAGTATGCACTGAGCCTCTAAACTTTTTAAAACTTTTTTCTGAACTCTTTTTAGCTGAGTATTGGAGAATTAAGAAAATTTCCATTGCTACTTGTATTCAAACATTTTAAAACTTAGGATAGGAACAGAACAAAGCTAGAACTAAATTTGGTTTCATTTCAAAGTAACTAATATTTAATGTTTCCCTTTTATTGCATTTAAAATTATAATTCAGTGGGAATTTTTGGAAAAAGGTTGGAATGGGTTGCTCCCAATTTTTGGAGATGGTGAAATTCTGGAGTTTCAGGTTGTTCATCTTTAATATGGTGTCACATGAAATGTGAAATGTGTGGCTCATCTTATGATACCTGCTAGTTTCAAACTTACTGGGCAATATTAATTATTTGTTCATTTCATATGATACCTGCTATTGTTAATCTAAAACGGAAACTAAAATTGTCAAACTCATCACTGCGCAGCACATTTTCATACATTAAGCTGTTGATTTGATTTCCAAATGGGATCTATACAAACAATACAAATACAAAAACATAAGTTAAAAGCAAGTACAGAACAAGCCATTGGTTCCAGAGTTTCTATAAATATAATAAAATAATTATTCCTATCACGTTTATAGATTTTACTTACTTTCTGCGCCGGAATAACATAGGTGTAGGTGATCCATGCGATGGATTATCATTTTGGCAGGCAAAGTGTGGTGGTGAAATAGGAGGGATGGTTGAAAGACTACCATTCACGAGAGTTCTAAGGATATTAAAGTGTGATATTATTGCTTATGAAACTCACCAAGGTCTTAAAACCAGAATAGTATTAAGGTTGTTCTGAAAATTTGTTACTTAATTTTATTATGCTTCTAAATCTCTGGTCCATTTATTTCATGCTTTTTTTCTTGTTCTTTTGCTTTTTCATTTTCTTTTTCCATTATAGGTAGCCCTCAGCTTATGACCAGGTGGTTATTGATCATTTACATTTACAGTGGCCAGGTGTTTTACAGCCCATGAAGCACTCCCTGCTGGTAATTATGGTCATGCCACCCCCCGACTTGGCCACATGACTTCAAGTATGGCATTTGGCAACTAGTCACATTTATGACAGATTGTGGTATTGCATAGTCATGTAACTATGATTCACAAAAAAAATTGCCAGCAAAATAATACTCATTTAAATATATTTGCACTTACAACTGCAATGTTCACTTAATGGCCACTGCAAAAAAGGGATCATAAAATTCAATTCAATTCAATTCAATTTATTAGATTTATAGGCTGCCCAATCCCAGAGGACTCTGGGTGGCTTAATCACTTCCAGTCACGTGGATATCTCGACTTAACAACCCTAGTGACTTATGACCGGATTTCCCTACTTGTAAAATGTCTTCCAAACAGACAGAATGGCATTATTTACACACACACACTCAGTGTGTGATTCTTTTATAAAACACAAATATCTACCCTAGAATTACAAATATTAACTATTTTATAAAAGAATCATAAACTGTTTAAACTTCTTATACAACTTTGCCTTATAATGCAGTCTTATAATACACACAAACACACACACACACGCACACGCACACACACACACATGAGACTACTTCTCTGGAATGATTTGCATTTTCAACATTTCAAGATTTGCTACCCCACATGATTTGTTCTGAAAATCTATGTCTGATAAACTTCATATTAAAATAATACCAAACTTACGTTCTCTGAAGTGGCTGATGAAAGACAACTGGAGGTACGTTTACTGGAAGATTAATGAAGAGATTATATCGTTGGTGTTCTAGTGGAAAAGGTGGACGACTCAAAGTGGAAGAATTTGGGAACATGCTCTTCTGTGCTATAAACGAACATGTATTCTTCTACCTATATAAATTTTAAATGAAAGTGAAGTAAAAAAACCCACCTATTTACAATTACTATAAACTAATATGATTTTTGACAAATATATTCTCAAAATATTTACATTAATATTTACCAATAAAAATACTTTTATTAACATGTTTGGCATTGTAATATTGTATTATACAGATATAACATGTATTGTATTTTGTAATAGCTGTATTAATATTGAAATACTTTTTGTATTATATTTGTATGTAGTCAAAGCAGATCTCTTTTTTTGCACAATCCCTTCAATAAGCTGCATTTCTACTATTCCATTCCATTTAAAATACAATACAATACAATAGCCGAGTTGGAAGGGACCTTGGAAGTCTTCTAGTCCAACCCCCTGCCTAGGCAGGAAACACTACACCGTTTCAGACAAATGGCTATCCAACATCTTCTTAAAGACTTCCAGTGTTGGGGCATTCACAACTTCTGGAGGCAAGCTGTTCCACTGATTAATTGTTCTGTCAGGAAATTTCTCCTCATTTCTAATTTGCTCCTCTCCTTGATTAGTTTCCACCCATTGCTTTTTGTCCTACCCTCAGGTGTTTTGGAGAATAGTTTTACTCCCTCTTCTTTTTGGCAACCCTTGAGATATTGGAACACTGCTATCCTTCTTTTCACTAAATTAGACATACCCAGTTCCTGCAACCGTTCTTCATATGTTTTAGTTTCCAGTCTCCTAATCATCTTTGTTGCTCTTCTCTGCACTCCTTCTAGAATCTCCACATCTTTTCTATATCGTGGCGACCAAAACTGAATGCAGTATTCCAAGTATGGCCTTACCAAGGCATTATAAAGTGGTATTAACACTTCATGTGATCTTGATTCCATCCCTGTTTATGTAGCCTAGAACGGTGTTGGCTTTTTTGGCAGCTGCTGCACACTGCTGGCTCATATTTAAATGGTTGTCCACTAGGACTCCAAGATCCCTCTCACAGTTACTACTATTGAGCAAGGTACCACCTATACCGTACCTGTGCATTGCGTTTTTCTTGCCTAAATGTAGAACCTTACTCTTTTCACCATTGGATTTCATTTTGTTAGATAGTGTCCAATGTTCAAGATTGTCAAAATCCTTCTGTATCTTAAGCCTATCTTCTGGAGTGTTGGCTATTCCTACCAGCTTGGTGTCATCTGCAAATTTGATGAGTTCCCCATTTATTCCCTCATCCAAATCATTGATGAAGATGTTGAAGAGTATTGGGCCTAAAACAGAGCCTTGGGGTCCCTTTATTACAGTTTATCCACAATTCCTTCAATAAGCTGCATTTCCACTATTCCATTCCATTTTTCATAGATGTACAGAATAATAATACCAAAAATAGAAATACACTATTTTACAGAGTCGCAACTATCTTGGTCTTAGATTACAAAACACACACCAGAAGCTTTATTAAACTACTTAGGAAATAAGAAAATGGCATATATGGTAACCAATATGACCAAGCAAGATTTTAAATATATTTCCATTTTGCTCTCTAGCACATGCATGTATCATAAACACACACACACAGACACACACACACACACACATCTACACTGAATACAAAAGAAATCTGTAATGAAATTGTTATTGACATTTATTTATGCTATCAATTTATATTGCTGTCCATTTACTGTGCAGCTACCAAAAAATGAAAAACAAGCAATAAACCAAACAGTTAAAACATATTGCATTGAGGAGAGTTCATACAAACAATGTAGGTAGCCCAGAACTTTGTTTTAATAGGCTCAAAATAATCTTTGATTTAGGATCATATTGGGCCCAGGATTTCTGTTGCTAAGAACGTTGTTTGAATTCTTCCCAATTGTATGACTATTTTGCCACAATTAAATGAAGCACTGCAATTGTTAAGCAAATTCAGCTCCTCCCACTTTGTTATCAGAAGCCAATTGGGAAAGGTCACAAATGGGAATCACATGACCCAAGGATGCTGCAACCATTGTAAATACATGCTGGTTGCCAAATTTTAATTATGTGATAATGGGAATGCTGTGATAATCATTTGATTGCATGACTGTGGGGATGCTGCAACAATCATCAAATATATGACTATGGAGATGCTGCGACTGGCCATAAGTCACTTTTTTCAGAGTCAATATAACTTCATTAAACTAATAACTTTAAATCAAGGACTACTTGCATATATTTTAACGCTCACAAAAATTCAAATGTGGCAGAGAAGCAAGAGCCTCTCCTATTATTTGTCTTCCTGCAGCCTCGCAATTTCAGCATTGCATTGAACAACCATTAACAATAATAATTGCATTAAGAACCATTAAACTATTTTGTTATGAGATACAACCCCCAAGAGCCCAAGCTAGCATGGCCAGTAGCAGGGATACCAGGTGTAAAACAAGATGGCCATATGCTAAATGTCACTGATCTAATAGCTGATTATAATTTCTACCATGATGAGGGAAAGGAGGTATGTATTTATTTTTTCTACTTTTTGTTGAACTTGTATTGCTAACAGCTTTGCAAATAATTTGCATTTGTATCCTTGCTGAGCCACTCACAGGACACCACTCACTATACACAAAGAGCTAAATGAAGCAATGCTTCCCTTTGGTAACTGTTTTCATTTGATTCATTTTCAATAAAGCTTATTCTAAGATGATGGACATTAAGGCCAGTAGTTTGGCAATTTGCTAGCTCAATATTAAAAGTGACTTCCAATATATTTCTGATCATAGCATCTCAAAATAATTTTGCAGGAACACCACTTACTTTGTAGGTTTAAAAATGGCAAAGGAAATATGATGAGATTTATATATTTGTATATAGTGTAAAAACACTCACCCAACCTGGTGTTCTCAAGATGTCTTGACTTCAGTTTCCATAATCCCAGATTAGCATAACAAATGGTCACACTTTTAGGGAATTACAGGAATTGAAATCCCCTGAAGTTTGTTAGTTTGATGCCAAGTTTATCAAACAATTGTCAGCCAAAAAGAAATATTTAATTACACAACACATACTGAAATTATTGAATTTGCTATAAATTTGTTTATAGTTAACAATTCAGAAAACTTTAGAGTCAACTGACAAACTGCCAGAAGATGAACTATGGAGAAGTGCACAAGAGTAAAGCCTTCTTATGCAGTTGCCTACAATAGAAGTTAAACAATATATACACTACAATTATAAAAGTCAAACTAAAACCATCTTCCTTACCAGATATCATTACTGTAAATTACTTTTCCTAAATCACTTTGGTTTCATTTTAAGGGCCCTTACTGTCAAGATATAGCAACAGTAGTTTTTAAATGTTTTAGTTAAAAATTGCTTGTATTTTCTTAGAGATTCCCATCAACATCCAGGAGAACCAAATCTTTCCAAATGAGACCCCCCTCCTCAGTAAACCAACCCCAAAAATGCAGAAGGCAGTAGATACTTTTTTTTTTTTTTGCACTAATCCATCAAAGACGCAGCACACCAACTTTCAGGAGTTTCCAATTATTGGCTTGGCAAAGCATTCGCCTTCACTTCCCAATCTTTCTTAAAGAATCAATTCTGCAAAGTTAGAGTTTCTTCAGGTGAGGTTCGAAATACACCCCATCCTTTTTTAAAGACAATTTAGAAGCAATTGCTGTAACTGCAACTGTAAAGACGACATAAACCAGGGGTCCCCAAACTTGGCAACTTTTAAGACTTGTAGACTTCAACTCCCAGAATTCTTCAGCCAGCACAGCATTCTGGGAATTGAAATCCACAAGTCTTAAAGTTGCCAAGTTTGAAGACCTCTGACATAAACCTATGTATAAGATACTCTACCTGAAAGGAAAGTATCTTTTTATACCCAAACCACCATGAATTAACGTGTGTGTGTTAATTACAACAACAACAATAATAATAGGACTCGAGCTGTTGAGCTACCAACCAGCCCCAAAGACTGTGAATCTCACCCAAGGTTAACATAACAACAACCACAACCGGTGCAGGGTACCAAGAACCGCCAAGGCATCAGAACCCCCCGACTCTCGTGAAAATCTCCGCTGCTGAGGCCGGTTTTCTCCACATTTCTCTCTTCCCAGATGCCCCGCCGAAAGTTACTCGCCTTGGCAGGGGGCCCTAGGACATCCTAACCAAACGGGCCAAAAACAAGCACTCTTGCCTTTTCTCTCAAAAGCCCTGCAGGCCCAACAGTCCGCTCGCTTGTAAAGGGAGACCCAGCAGGATCCCTGCTCGGTCAAAAAGAAGCCCAAGAGGCGCTCTCTTCATCTCGTCCGCTCCGGGCTACAACCTGCGCGAAGGTTGTTTTTAACTTACTCCGGCGAGGGCGTAGAATTCAGGAGCGGCTGAGGGTCGAGGCCCACCCGCTTTTCGAGGCCAGCCGCCTTATTCTCTTTTCTTCCCTTCCTTTCTGGAGAGAAAGAGAAAGGCAGGTAGGATTCTCCGAAAGTAAACCGGAAGTTCCATAAACGGGACCATCTCTATGGCTGAGACTTTGGGTGTACCCCGGATCCAAAGCGCTCCGACCGGAAGCGCTCCAGAGCTCCCGCTCTTATGCTCTCAGCCTCGGTAATCTCCCTCCTCGCAAGTCTTCGACATCCCATTCTGCGCACGCGCCTTTGGCGCATGTTCAAGCACGTGGGCTGTACCTCTCCGGAGGTTTTATGCTCCATAGAAGGAATTCTCTGGACTCTCCTGACAGATTAGCATGAGTACACAATAGATACAAACGTATGCACAATATATTATACACAATACAATACACGAACACACAATAGATATAAACTCAAGGTAAACGGCTCCAAACTCGATTGCAGAAAATAGGACTTCAGAAACAGTGGTCAATGCCTGGAATGCACTACCTGACTCTGTGATTTCATTCCCAAACCCCCACAACTTTAACCTTAGACTGTCTACCTCATCCCATTTCTAACAGGTCTGTAAGGGGTGTGCATAAGCGCACCAAGGTGCCTACTATCGTCCCTGTCCTACTGTTCCCACTTACTTGTATCCATTTTGTGTATTCATAATCATGTTTATACTTCTGTCTTATACAATCTTGACAAAATAAAATAAATAAAAGTTTCCATGTCTATATAATTATTGTTTCGGGGCGATATAAAGGCCCCTTACTCGGATAGAATAAACTAGTTCTTGAAGATTGTAGGAAGTTATCACCCAGCCCTCTCCAAGAAAAATGAAATATCCTAGGAAATATTGAAAAGGCAGAATATTTCTCTGGATGTGAAAAAGTAAGAAACATGTTTTAAAAGACAGAATAGCTTCCTGCAGCTTCCTGCCCATCCCCCTTTGTCAATGGGCCATTAAAGCCTGAGCTAGTCCACTTCACATAATAAGGGTTTTCCCCTCAGCTCCAGAGTGATGGGATTAAGGCATGATAATATTGGCCCTGTTAGCAACTCACCACATGGCTTCTGAGAACTCAACCAAACCTGGATTCAAAACGCAGCCTAGAGAGTTGCCCCTGCATGGGCCCATGGGAGTCTGACAACCAATCAGAATACAAGCTGAAGATCAAAGGCCAGAAAGGGCATAAAACCAGGGTCTCAGCTTCTCTTCCTTCCTTGCCTTCCCTTCCCTTCTTCTTCACCAACATTGAAACATGTGATTACCTTTTCTGCTCAGGACTCAAGCCATGTGGTCCTGTCCACCAATAAATCATCTTTCCAAGCAGCCTCCATGTCTCGAATGTCTTTTTCCCCACTTGGAGCCAAACCCAGAAGGACATTTCTTCCAACAAGATAACGGGGAGATTATAATCGCCATTGAACAGAAAATTCCACTCATTTCAAAATGGCAATATTGCTGAACTTCTATCGAATTTTAGGCAAACATTCAGAAATAGGTTCTACCTGCTCAGAGATCTGGGAAGATCTATAATGATATTTTTCCCCTTTATAACTCTTTCATCAACTGTTTTGAAATGTGTCACATGGTTAAATAAGTGAATGCTGAGTAGGAACACTATAAAGCTGTTAAGAAAGAAAGTGCCAATATCTCTTGGTAATATTTCTATTCTGTGTCCCTGTTGCTTTGCCTTCATCTCAGCCCCTGTATGAGAAGGTCTTGAATCACCTTTTACTGATGTTGAAATAATATATTTCCCACAAATCACAATAATTAGCAATAGGTTTAACTTAGATGAAATATGTTGGCACCCTAGCACCTTAGCTACAAACTAGTTAAATGCATTTAGAATGAGCAACAGGAGCAATGAGCAACTTAAAAATAAACATTGCATTAAGAAGATCAAATCAATGTTATGGGGGACCAAAGAAGCATGTTTTCTCTGTCACAGTGCCCACTGTCTGGAATGATACTCCCTAGAGGTTGGATGGCTCAACTGATGATGATCAGGAAGCTAGTGAAAGCGTTGGGGCAAGATGAAGGTTGGGTCCCTGCTGGACAGGTGGTGGTGGAGTTATATGATTTTTTTTTAGTCATTGTGATTTCTTTTTTGACTTTTTAATTTTAAAGACATTCCCTGTGGGATTGGGTTGCTTAGAAAATATATAAGTAAGTAAGTAAGTATGGTAAATCTTGAGGGAGCCAAGCTTGGCAGCAGTTCATATAAAAGGCATCTGGGCAATCTTGTTAGATAAATAGCAATGTAATGTAATGGAAGAAATTTCCGAATTCATTTCCCAGCTGATCTTTAATTGGGAAAAAAGCGGGAAGGCAGAGACACAGCTCAGATGTTCTGGGTCTGCAGACAAATTGTACAAGTATTAGTTTTCCTCTTATACATTTTTTTTTCTCTTTGAAGCTTTTGTGTGAGTTATGTATTACAAAGTTTTTTATTTTATTTTCAGTGATTGCTTCAATTTTGATTTTCTTCTCTCTTGATCCAATCTTGCCTGGTATCTTGTCTCCTCAAAAGAAGGGAAGGGAGTTTGTGAGTAAATGTCTACCTTTGTATAGCTTATGTAAATGATCGTGGGTAATGTTTGCCATAGATTGGAATCCATACCTTTGTTATTTTTAATGGTAGCTTCTGGCCGTTTGGGGGCTTCCCTTCTGTTTTGTTATTCCTAATATTTGTACTATGTTTCCTTTTGTGATTAAATGTAACATCTAAGTAAGTGTCCTCTTATTATGGCTTCTTCTCCTTTGAACCAAATTAGTGTTTGGTTCTGGGCCTCCATTTTAGTTCTAATTTGTAATAATTCTGGTTATATCTCCTCATAATTTACTACAGTACTATAAGAGAATTTTCTATCTTGAGGTATATTAATATAAGCAGAGAGTTCAGATCACCAGAAGTCATTATTCCATTTTATGTTGGCCTGATCAGACCCCTTTTGTATTCTGAGCATCAATTCAAAACTAGTGAGAAATTGGAGCAAGAGAGGTTCAAAGGAGGTCTATCAAGATGGTAAAGGGCATGAAAATCAAGCCCTGTGAGAAAAGAGCCTATTATGTTTAGCCTCCAGGGGGAAAAGACCAAGGGCAGATACAATAGCAGTTTTAAATATCTAGGTGTTACACAGAAGAAGGAAAATATCCAAACCACTGATGTTAAAACTACATGCTAGGTATTAGGAAGTGCTTCCTATAATATGAGCTGTCCAATAGTGGATTGAATTCTACTTTGCTAGAGCTTTTCAAGCAGGTTGATGGTCATTTGTTAAAGATACTCAAGTAGAACCTTCATTGATTTAGAGCATCAGACCTAATTACATTTAAAATCTCTTCCAATTCTATAATTCCAAAACTCTCTGGACAGTTATCTAACCATGAAAAAACTGACTGATGCTAATGATCTCCACTTTCAGATTACATTTTGACTGCTCGAAGGCAGGACTGATGGATAATCCCCTGTAATCATTTAAGACAGGTTCCCAGTGGCCAAGAAAATTTTTCTTTTCCTAGGAAAGATAAGTTGAACACCCCAGGCAACAAAAGACTGGGACACCCAACATCACCTTTCCAATGAAACCCAGCAGTTTATTTATTTTAATCTCACCTTTATTATTTCTTCATAAATCAAGGTGACAAACACCTCCCAACATCGTTTCATCTTCCAATTTTTCTCACATCAACAACCCTATGAAATGAGTCGGACTAAGAAATAGTAACTGGTCCAAAGTCATCCCACTAGCTTTCATGGCTAAGGGAATACTTCAATTTGAGTCTGGATAGTGATGCCACTGTGCAACAGGGAAACTGGTACAGCAACAGCAACCCCAGCTCTTATTCTTTCCTAGACTGAACAGTCACATTAATCCAAATTGCAACTAGTTTGATTTTGCACTGTTGAGCTTAAAGCAACATCTAAAAAAGCAAAGAGAGTGCAGTTGCATGTACACTTCAGAAGAAACCCAGGGAAGACAAGATATTGTCTGGTAGCTAGGGTACAGTGTGCATAGAGCCATTAGAGGTTAAAGCTCAATGTCCAAGAATCCAAAGCCAAGAGTCCAAAGACCCTAGTCCAGAAAAATGGGGTAAGATAAAGAAAGAGGAGAAACAGAGAAACAGGTAGTTTATTTCAATTCAGAATTCAACACTAGAAAGTTCCAAAGCTAGCCTAGACACAAATAGAACAAGAATAAGTAATACAGGGCTAATGCTTGAGAATTGTTTCCAATAGAGAATCAGCCCTTTGCAATTACTTCTTTGTAGCCACAGCTGTGAGCACAGGTCATTTACAAGAATCTCCTTGCTTTTGTAGTTAGCTAAGTGAATCACCATCACTCTGTTCTTTGAAACTGCAAGATGTCTTAGGGCAAAGCATCCTGCAAGGAATTGTCCCTTCACAATTGCGGGAAGTCCCTCCCCACTCCTCAAAGAATGAAATATTTTGGGAAATATTTAAAAAGGCAGAATATTATATTTTCCTAAAGGATAAATGAAGAAACATGTTTTTGGAGGCAGAAAGCAGCCCCTCAGTCTTCCTTAATAGGCCACAGCAGATGCCAGCACTTAAGGAGAAAAGAGCTTATTGAAAGAGGTTATTGAAAAGAGCTTATTGAAAGAGGAAGCCAACTATTTAGTTAGCTCCATTCATAAGCAAAGCAAATACTGCAGGCAGAAATCCATTCAAGACAGGATATTTCAAAACTCCTTGCAGCAAAGTTTGACAGCTAACAAAAGCAGAATGGTAGGATTAGAACAAGCAACCCCTCATCCAACACAGGACGAAAGCCATTAGCCACAATAAGAATTGTCCCACCACCTTGTGCAATAAGCCATATTGCACAAATCCCAAACTTCAAAGTTACAGAAACTATAAAGATCCGTCCACTCATTCAAACATTTGTTCAGCTGACCCAGAACTGCACCCTGTCTTTGTGGGTGGTTCTGTTCATCAATAAATGGACCTTCTTTCCAATCAGCCTCCAGCTTCCATTTTATTTCCAGCGTCTTTCAGTTGTATCTGTCCGCCCCGTGCCAACTTAACGAAGCGATGGATGTGATGAGCCAGGGTCTGGAGG